GTATGCATTTTTTCATTAGGGATATATCTAAAAACAACTTGCAAAATCTGCAGATCTCTTGACTGAAGCCTTTGCAAACCCTTCCCTTCTAACCCCACCCAGACCTTCTGTGGCTGTCCAATCACAGACTTCCCAATGTAGCTCATTGAGAAATGTTTGCAAGGCAGGTGCTCTGAGCAATTGCTGTCTCTTGAGTTTAGCTCCACTGAGCTAACCAAACCAGGAAGTAACAGGACTGGTTGTTGATTGACAGGCATGGGGGCGTATCCAGGTTAACTAATAAAACTGCCAATATCTTTTGAAATCTGCACTGTTTGTAAAATGAAGACACACTCTTCACACATAAAGCACTACAGCAGGCTGAAGATTTCAAGTTAGAGAATAATGTGTTCTGTAGCAATGTGCGTGAGCACGTCTGTGCAGAACGAGTGGATGCGGCAACAGTAAAGGAATTCAAGACTGCCTTGACTTCTTGGGCCTTTTGGTTCTCATCTACATTTTTTTGTTTACATGTTTATTTTTTCTGTTTAATTAAACCGCTCAACCTTTTGTCTGCTGATTATTATAAAGTCTCCAGAACCTCTCACACATATTTTTCATACGATATACTGTTCTCTGTTACGTATACATTCACCCCTCACCTGAGATAGGTATACAATGTCAATACTGGATGTGTGGGACTAAAAGTCCCACCATGAGTAATCAGTGACGACTGCAGTTTGAATATACTTCAGCCTCTTTTACATATCAAAGCTGTGTGTATTTGATATGCTATACATATATATATATATATATATATATATATATATATATATACGTTATAGCATTCCCTAGCAATCTGAGGATTAAGCCTTTTTCATCCTCTGCTACATAGAGGGACTGACTTGACCAACACTTACAATCTCCGACTCCCCTCTGTCGGATTGATTAAATTGGCTCAAGATGACACCAGTAATTAACTCAAGATGGGATAAACCTAACGATCCATATCTTTCCCCCGTCCCTCCGCCTTCCCGCAGTTCTTCCCTGCTCTCCCTCCTCTCTCCTACGTACAGCCTCTTACAGCTCTGTCTTCGATTTAGGTTGGTTTACATTGGCCAGCGCACAAACAATTTAATATAAGTACTAGCGAAAGCTCAACTTGGTGACATCATACGAGCAGTGTGCTAAAACTTACCCATGCACCCACCTATAAGCCAAAAAAATTTAAGATGCATATAATCCCAGTGCTGGCTGAACAAGACAAGGTCCCTTTCAAATACCTTCACTTGCTCTTTTTTTGGAAAGAGACAAATTTGGCCAGCACCCCACAAATATATTCCTAGTTAATCTATTAAAAACAAACCCGGATTGTTTTGTATTAAGTAGCAAATACTCTGGATCCTTAAACGAGCCCTTGGGTCATGAGCTGGGCTAACATTGTTTTCTGTTCTCTACTCATTATCCGTGTTATTAATTGCAATAAAAAGCATTATCAGGTCTCACGGGGCTGTATAATAAAGCAAGTTAAAAGACTAGTAGAAAAAAAAATGCTTATTCTTATAAAATCAGGATATAATCAGAAAGAACTGTATAGCCAGACCAAGTACTAAGACACAGGCTGCTTGTTTAAAGGTAGATAATTATTAAAGCAGTGAATAAGGAAATACAAAAGAGAAACATAAAAACTAATTGCTGTACAATAAAAGCTGAATTATAAACTAAAATAACAAAAAATTAACTATAGTTAAAGAAGTTGGATGCCGCCAGGGGGAAGCTGAGTGCGCCACTGAAGGAAGCTTTGGAGTCCCCCCTGAGGTCTCCTGGTACCATAACAACTTTTAGATGAAGTTGTTTTGGTGCCTAGAGTATCCCTTTAAGTACAGACTTTACAAGATATTTAATATTATTTTCTTGAGCAGTGCATTTTTCTCACAAAGTCCGAAACTGTGGAAAGGTTTGTTAATGACTTTTGTGTGAAAAATGCGTAGATTTTGTAGCATTGTTGCTATGCATTGTAAGAATGTACACAGTTGTATAAGAGACATGCCCCTTGGAAAGGCAAGGCTGCATTGTGTAGGCCAGTGAAAATGAACAAGTGGCTATGAAAACATAGTACACTTGGTAGGGACAATGGTAAGAATTACATTCTCGGGCAAATGATTGTAAACCAGTGGTTCCCAAACTGTGTGCCGCGGCACAGACGTGCACACAGGGGTGCTGCGGAATGTTTCCCCGGTGCTTTGATTATAGCACCGGGAAAACATTCCTGCTGAACAGGTCATATAAGACCGAGACCGGGCCCCTGTAATGTCGGTTGGCTGTGAGGAAATAAATCCTGCAGGGAGGCAGCGCGGGAGGAGGCAGTGCGGGAGGAGGTAGTGCGGGAGGAGGCAGCCGCAGCATGCGGGGAGAGGAGCACGAAGTGTGTGTGCATGAGTGTGTATGAGTATGAGTGTGTGTGTGTGTATCAGGATGTTTGTGAGCAGGGCCGCCATCAGGGGGTGACAACCATGACGGTTGTCACGGGCCCAGCGGTCCTGGGGGGCCAATTGCACCGGGACCCGCACGCTGATGGGGCCTATCGGGTGGCCACGCACTTATGAACGTATGTCTGTGTGTATGTGTGCATGGATGTCTGTATGCATGTATGGCAGTATGTATGTATGTATGTCTGTCAGTATGTCTGTATATATGCATGTATGTCAGTCTGAATCTATGTATGTCTGTATGCCATTATGAATGTATGTCTGTATGCCATTATGAATGTATGTGTGTATGGATGTCAGTGTCTGTATGTCTGTATATATGTATGTATGTATGTCTGTAGGTCATTATGAATGTATGTATGTATGTGTGTATGGATGTCGGTGTCTGTATGTATGTCAGTGTGTATGTATGTGTCTGTATGTCCTTATGCATGTGTGTCTGTATGTATGTTAGTATGTGTCTGTCTGTCACTATGTATGCCTGTGTTTCTGTATATGTGTGTATGTCTAGTATGTGTGTGTCAGTATGTATGCCTATATGCGTGTATGTCTGTTTCAGTATGTGTGTCTGTTAGTATGTATCTGTGTGTGTGTATCTGTGTCCTTTTGTATCAGTGTGTGTGTGTTTGTGTCTGTGTGTGTATTCCTGTGGGCAGGATTTGAAGGCAGACCCTGTGGGTGGGATTGGAGGTGGGCCCCAGGGGGCCCAGACCCTGAACTGAGTTAGGGGCCCAAAATTTCTGGTGGCAGCTCTGTTTGTGAGAGTGTGTCTGTCATGGTGTGCATCTGTGTGTGTGTGTGTGTGTATATTTATATATATGTATATATATGCATCTGTGTGTTAATGTGCATGAATATCTGTGTAAGTATATATGTATGTGGTAGTGTATGTGCATACATCCAAGCAGTCAAACACCAGCACAACATACAAGCACACTCCTGCAACCTAACTCAAATATCACATACACACACCACTGCATTTAAACTAAAAAAATTATACAAACACATCCCTTTAGTCAAACACAAATACTTCACACAAATGTACATTTAAAAGTGAACATTACATTCAGACACACGCCTGCAATCAAATGCAAACATTACACTATTATATCTCCCATCCTGATCTTATGGTATGGTAATGTCATTTTATGTTCATTCTCTATGACTTTTTGTTAACTGTTTGTTTAGCTAGTGTTACTTCTTTCACTGATAATCTTGTAAATTTATGTTCATGGTTTATGACTAGTGATGCACTGAACGGTTCGCCGGCGAACAGTTACCGGCGAACATAGCGTGTATTTAAAAACAAAAAACTTTTTTCACTGTTATAGATTGAATAGCAGATAGTTGTCTGCCACTGCTGCCAGCTTCTGTGTCAGGCTCACAGTGGATACTGTGCCCATTTGCCCAGTCAGTGCCACCACTCATATCTGGTGTCACAATAGCTTGCATTTAAAAACAAAAAACTTTTTTCACTGTTATAGATTGAATAGCAGTCAGTGTCCTTAAAGCGGGTGTGTCAGGCTCACAGTGGATACGGTGCCCAGTGCCACCACTCATACTGGTGTCACAATAGCTTGCATTTAAAAACAAAAAACATTTTTTCACTGTTATAGATTGAATAGCAGTCAGTGTCCTTAAAGCGGGTGTGTCAGGCTCACAGTGGATACTGTGCCCAGTGCCACCACTCACTCACTGGTGTCACAATAGCTTGCATTTAAAAACAAAAAACTTTTTTCACTGTTATAGATTGAATAGCAGTCAGTGTCCTTAAAGCGGGTGTGTCAGGCTCACAGTGGATACTGTGCCCATTTGCCCAGTGCCACGACTCATATCTGGTGTCACAATAGCTTAAGCTTGACATTTAAAAAGAAAAAAAAATTTTTTCACTGTAATAGATTGAATAGCAGTTAGTTGTCTGCAAGCGTCTGGGTGTCAGGCCTCCATCAGCGTGTGCTCTGCAGACCTCTGCCCGTGTACTTTGCCACTCATATCTGGTGTCTCTATAGCGTGCTTTTACAAAGAAAAAAAGTTTTTCAGTGTAAGCTAATAGCAGTCACTGTCCTTAAAGCGGGTGTCAGGCCTCCTTCAGCGTGTGCTCTGCAGACCTTTGCCCGTGTACTTTGCCACTCATATCTGGTGTCTCTATAGCGTGCTTTTACAAAGAAAATTTTTTTTTCAGTGTAAGCTAATAGCAACCAGTGTCCTTAAAGCAGGTGTCAGGCCTCCTTCAGCGTGTGCTCTGCAGACCTTTGCCCGTGTACTTTGCCACTCATATCTGGTGTCTCTATAGCGTGCTTTTACAAAGAAAAAAAGTTTTTCAGTGTAAGCTAATAGCAGTCAGTGTCCTTAAAGCGGGTGTCTGTCACAGTTCTCACCTGATAGACAGACGGCAAGACGCGGTTGCTCTTGGAGTTCCCAACAGGGGACTTGAACCGGGGATCTTCTCAGTCCTGGTCCTGCTTTCTACCTCTGAGCCACAGCAGCTATTTACAGTGAGGACTGATTCCAGTCCTGTTCATCCTGACATGGCTACTACTCTGGGGGCTGCACCTTGACTTGGCTGTGTTTCACCTGACTCTGATCAGTCATCAGCAGGGTATATAAACCCAGCCTCGCCCTGTGCTCAGTGTCAAGTCTTTGATCCTGTTTGTTCTAGTGTTCCTGTTTCATTGCTTCGCATTATTGACCCCGGCTTCCTGACTCGTTTATTCTGACTTCTGGCATCCCTTGACTTCGGCTACTCCTCATTGTTCCTGTCCTCTGGCATCCTTTGAC